AAGGGCGGCAGGCTGGGGGCTATAGGGGAAGATGGGAACACGGATGGGGTGGCATGCCCCCTGAGAGTGATACGTCAGACATGGGGGAGGGAGATAGCCGGATCCGGGATTTCATCGCAGGATCAGTCTTCAGTTATACAGGTTACTCTGGTGCGAAGTGACATGGAATGCTTACCTCCCAGCCTAGGAGCCGCACGCAACAGAGAAGTAATCAGCTGCAAGAACTTAGAACTCAGAAATATTTCTGACATGAGTGATGGGAGGATCAGTCGACCGGGCCCCATAACGAGGTCTATGAGCCGTGTGCAGGCGCGTTTGTGCTTATAAACGAGCTCCACCACCCTCTGGCTTTTAACACCCTGACGATGATGGCAGCAATACAGCCATCGAAAGCTAGGTTATCTATTTATTAAACATTTAATTGTTTTACCTCCTGGTGCTCGTTTTTATCTTTTGAATGTGTGTGTGTGTGTGTGTGTGTGTGTGTGTGTGTGTGTGTGTAGGTCTTTGGTTATTCGGGTTTTCTCCCGCTTAAAATTGGAAGTGTCTTGGCGACGTTTCGATGAAGTCCCATTCGTCATCTTCAGGCTGGTGTTTTCACCAAAAAAAAAAAAAAAAACCTTTCTGTATATACTCCCTTGACTCGGCTGACAAAGAGGGGAGGAGAGCCTGAGGCTTGGCAGTTAAACAACTGCCTAGTATTTAAACTGCCCAGGTTCGAATCCCATAAAGGCTATGGTTAACTGATGAGAGCAAATGAGCTCGAAATGGCCATATTAGTCTCCCAACTTAATTCTTTAACTGTTTGTCAGAAAAAGAAATCTGGATATATATATATTCTCCTTTATTGTAATTTATGTTCAATTTGAAAGATTGCATCATTTTAGGGAGGATAGTCAGATAAGCATTTTTTAAATTATCCTCACTTAACAAGTTAATCCACCATATAGATTACTATCATTATAACTGGTCTTTGTGATGTTAAAGCAGGTAAACATTTGCCTAACTCTCTCAAAAAGCAGGTTCAAAAGTGAATTCAAAATAAGATAACTTACAACTTACAAATTTATAAATTTTACAATTTACCTTTAAAAGTACTGCTGTGCGTTCTCGAAAGAAAAGGCCCATTGCATCAAAATGGTATCCTGAATCAAATTGCTCAAGTGTGGTAGAGTGGTCCTGTGCAATTTTTCATCAGTCTAGAGTTATTCTTACATTCTATTTACAGAAATAATTTAAGGGTTAGGGTTTTACTCATCTGGTAAGCTTAGGGCCCACCTGGATTATATTGTTGAAAATTCCCCTAAATTGGCAACAACGCTTTAATTTTTCTATTGCTCTAGGCGGGCACTTTTATATCACTGTCTTAAAGTATTCGCCCAGGTCTCACTCGATCCCATTTAGGCCTATATATATTTTTATTGTTTTTATTTACAGTTTTCTTGTCCATCATGTACTTATCAACTTTCAGTTATGTTGTTGGTTTGGGTAGAGTCTGTGGGCCTGGTTTTGATGTGTCGTATCTAAAGGCTTTATGATATTTTAGAGACTGGATGTTAAGATTAGTCATAAGGTGATCCTCAACTTTCATTTAGCGACCGTTCAAAGTTATAATGATGCTGAGAAAAGTGACTTACACTTCACGACTATCACAGTGTCCCCATGATCACATGGTCAAAATTCAGGAGCTTGGCAACCAGCATGTATTTATGACAGTTGCAGCATCCCAGGGTCATACAGTCACCATTTGTGAGCTTCCCAGATTCTGACAAGCAAAATCATGTAATTTACTCGGTGATTCTCTTAACAACTATGGCAGAAAAAGTTGTATAATCAGGTGGGCAAGTCATTTAACAACTGCCTTACTTAGCGATAGAAGTTCTGCTCCCAAATTCTAGTTCCTAAGTGGAGGAGGACATATGTACAGCAGCCCATTTTATGAGCCACAGTTCTGGGCAGCTCAAGGCAACAGTGATAAGAACACTTTTTAATTTTATAACTATATTTAAAAAGTCCAGCCTCATCCTAATTCTGTCCCAGGGGGTAACCAACTTTTTAAAAATCTAGAAGAGTTAGGAGCCTGCCAGATCTCAAAACATAAAATATTTCCACACGGCCAAGACCACTACTGTGAAGACATATTTCCTATATCTTACTAGATGACCAAATTTGAAAGAAGCAACCTGGAGTGTGCCTATCCCTCCCCCCATCTCAATGAACATGCTGTGCAACTGAGTTATTAAACGTAGCCCTTGACTTAAAGTACTTATGACCTGATTTTGAAGTTATGATGGCCATGTCCCTTCCTATAGTCATGTGATCACATTTTGGGCACTTGGCAACTGGCTCCCTTTTATGACCATTTGCAGTGTCTTGCAGTCACATGATTGCAGTTTTTGTCATTTTTTGCTGATTTCTGGCATCTACTTCTATTTCTGACAAAAATGGTATAATGGATTTGCTTAACAATTGTTGCACTCGCTTAATGACTGCCGTGTTTTCTTAATAGCCACCACAAGAAATGTTATAAAGTTGGTTCTGATCATGTAGTGATCCACTTAACAACCGCAAGAACATATGACCATAATTTGAGACTCAATTACAGTCATAAGTTAAGGACTTATCTGTATGTAGTTGCTGGGGGGAGGAGTTCATTCAGATCCATTTTACTTTTAAAAGTTTTTGTGGGTTTTTATTTATGTATTTGTCTTGTTTTTTCATATCTGCAAATCTTCCTGAGTATGCCAATTATTTTCACATATTATTGCCCGATATGATTTGGATTAGAGTGCCATAAGCATGGGAAGTTTGGAATTTCTATTTAAAATGGATAATTTTTCTTCTGCATTCATTACTACAATTTAATGTATGAGAATTGAAATAGTATAATTTTAACAAAATAACAACTGAACTTTTATTGTGTTGCACTACTAATTAAATTTGTTCTCCACTGATTAATCAACTATCAAGATTGATTAATCTATCAAATTAAGACCATTACAGATAGACTGTATTTATATGCACAGCTTTTTCCAGCTACAGTTTTATCAGAGTAAAGTTATGTTCCCGGATGTCATTGATTCAGAGTATTTATGCATGCAGGGAATCCTATTTGCCTGAACCATGTATCTTATTTTCCCTACCATTCTTTCTATTGTTATGTCCGCTATCATTTTTCACAAGAAAAAAAAGACCCATTTATAGAACTTCACATTTTAAAGTGTCACAGCAAAATATCCCTCCTTCATCTTTAGCAAAAATTGTAATAAATGTTTCAAATAAAAAAATAACATTTCATGGTATTCACAGAAAAGGTTATAATAAATGCACGCCAAATTATTTCACATTTCTGATACATTAATGTTCAAACAAAACCCTGTATTTTATAAAGGCCAGAGTAGTGAGAAATATCACTTGTGGGAATAAAGCCCTTTTTTTCTAGTGGACTAGCTGAAGCAGAGGCTGCTTTTTGATAGAGTTGGGAGGGAAACTTAGATTTTGGCCTGAGTGTTTGTTTAACCATCCTGAATGTCCCAGCCAGTTTTGTATCTTCACCTCTGGTGACCCATGCTTTTCTGTGGTTGAAGCAGCATAGTTGGGTCAAGCTTGATGTATTGTGCTACCCTTAGTCCCACAATGTGTTTGTTCACTCCTCCCCAGCTACTAGCAACTACACTTTTTAAAACGATTGTTTTAAAATTAAAACCAAGGCCATTTGAACCCTTCCTCCCACAACTAGAGTGGGGTCTGTATTTCCTTAAGTTAGCTCAGAAGCATGTAATCACTGCAAATGCAGTTTACTGTCCTTGCATTTGCTCTGAAGAAAGGCAGATTAAAAAAAAAAAACTATTGGAAGCATACCTTCCAAAGTATGTCTTGTTATTCTCAAATTTTGTAGGGATATACCCAGTAATTGTATTGCAACCCTGTTAGCACGCTTCCCAATTGCACTAATGAATTTCTGCTTATCCTTTTACTTGCAGACAGATGGTCTGCTGGAACTTAGAAGGTAGCAAAATTTTGTGCAGCTGCATGTAAGGGTTGCCAGCACAACTGGTAAACCAAATTTCCCATGATTAAATAGTTATCTGTTTATTATCTGGACATTTCAATGTCCATAGGCTGCTGTAAGTTGCTGGCTTTGGGCTATAATAAAAAATTCAGTTACTCATTCTTTCATAATTTGTTCCAGAAGGTCAGACTTCATTATTTTATCTCTTAAAGCTTCTAGATGAAGATAATAAGAATTTGTGGATGATATTAATTTATTCTCTCCTCCTCCCAAGTACTTCCTGCATTAAAAGCATCTATTAGTTAATAAGATTCCCAACTCTCAATGGGATAGAAGGTCAATATAGAATTCATTATGCTTTTCTTCTCTTAACTTGCAAATGGTTTTTCTCTTACCTTGGGAAAAATATGCATGTTTCAGACAGCAACAACATGAGGGAGTAATTTTGCATATAGTTGATACATTAAGCCAAGATTCAGATTAAGAATGTTACAGATAATGAAAACTGAGTATGCTGTCATCCATTTTTTTAGATATATATTATTTATTTGTTTTCTAATACATAACAATTTGTGAGTAACAAAATAGAGAACTGAATCACACCTTAACTATATGGCAGCATAGTTGATACAGCATCCATGCACCCTTTTGAGTGTTTTATTTAAGTCTTAGCTCAAGCTTAGATATGGGAAAGAGAATATCCAGTGAAATTACTAAAATCAACATAGGACTTTCATTTTTCATCATAAGATGAATTTCAATATGTTTATCTTTAATTATACATGAGCAAACAGAAATCAGGTCTGTTGAAAATCCTAAGGGGGAAATATTTTTTGCTTGGTGTATTTTTAATTCTAGTTTAGCTAGTTTGAAGATTTGTATAAAATTGCCACTACTTCAAGAGATATGCAGCATGCCAGTTCAGTTCTTTGGCCAGCAGACAAATATTTGCTTCTACCATTGTTTATTTTTTCCCCTTTAATTTCAGAGTTTGAAAGCGGCACAGCTGAAAATGAAGTCCCACCCCCGTTGCCTCCACATCCTAGTGAGAAGCTATTCACAGATTATAATCATAGGTCTGAATATGTTTACTATTTTTGATTTCATGTCTAGTGATAGCAATGAGTCTCTTTCATGTTATGTGAAAAATAGTTTTGCTTTACAGTTCACTTGCACCATAACATATGCTCTGATATTCAGCCTTCTTCATCTTCCAAATCTATTATGATTTGTTTTTCTTACACTCACTGAGTTTAGATACCATTATCCCCATTGGATAGAAAGAAACTGAGGCCAGTCAAAACTGAATTGTTAAATCTTCAAAGTTTAAATCCAACAAATATATCTATTGAATTGCTTATTGTAATAATGGTTTTACTACTAGTAATTATTTCTTCTTATAAAAAATTTCATTTGGGGGCATTTTGCAGTTTTATATTTGCATACTGGGATGGGGGGAGGCTTTCTTATGTTCATAGGGGATTTGCAATTTCATTAAATGGAACTGTCCCTTTTTAGAGCAAGTTCCACTTTCCTATCTTATTTTCCACTCTGATAGGAGATTCTTTACCAACATTCTGAATAGAATTGGAAGCTAGTTTAAAAAATGGTTATGTTGCAAACCTGAATCAAGCCACAGAAAAGATTGGAAGGACTGGGAAGCCTGTATAATGTACAGTTTCTCACCAGAGTTCTCCCTATTGCAATGTTCGGCATTTCTAATTAGAAATTAGAAAGATATTTCAAAATTTCCAGTTTTCCTCTTCCCTCAGAAGAGAAGTTTCTTTGAGACAGAATGGTTTGTCTATGTAATTCATATAAGTCACAAATTTCAGTGAAATTTTGGTAGGGAAATCTTTGGAAATATGTAATTATCAGTATTATTTTAAAATTTAATTTTAGACTTAGATCTGAAACAATCATGGACCAAACAGGGGGCTGGAATCTAATAGTTCCAGTGATGGAAATTAGCAGAATCAAAAGAGTTCAATCATCCTTCCCCATCACAGTTCTTCATTAGCCCTCCAAATCTGCTGAGACAGAATTGGAGTGCCTTTTTTGGACAAAATTTGGAAGCAGAGCTAAAGAGAGAGGGATTCTGCAAAAAGATTCATGTTTACAGGACATTGGACTATGCCTTTGATCTTTTCAATTGAAAGGATAAATAATTAAGTTAGGTCTTGATTTCCCTGCTTCTTAACTGCATAGTCACTCTTTTAATCACAAGCATGGGCCTATTAAAGAGCAGCTAGGAATTTTATCTAATTGGAAACAAATTAAGAACATGATGATAAATGTATTAGATGATAGTACACTTTTAATACTTAAATTAATGCACTTTGTTAAACTTTAATATGCCTTATTAGTACTGAAATAATGAGCAGAAAAGGTAAAAACCTATACCTTTGGATTGGATGATAGTTACCAAAGTAAATTTAGATTTAATGTAAGCAATAAGTCATGCAAAAAAAAAACCTCAAATGACTTATAATAGCTGAGGAGAGAAAATGCATTATATTGTATAGAGTTTAATTACTACATCTGATCTTCACCCCACATACTTGGTATGGTTTCTTTCTTTCAGCAGCATAGTAGGTGATTCAGAGACTTTTTTGCCAGATCAGCCCATCAACTTCAGATCTCTGACCCTGGCCAAACAGACAGAATCAATTAACCTGAGGACCTCCAAGAGCATGGATCTTGGTAAGAAGTGGTGAGAAGATTTTTAGCATCACTGTATATTCTCTTGTTCATTTCTTAAAATTAATTTCTTAAATTAAATATTTAATTTGGAAGAAAAATTATTATGAAAGGCCAAGTTTGGCAGAAAATTAGGAGGAAAAATATCTGCCATTGCAGTACTTGTTGTTTAAAAACTGTAATTATGGGGCCGTGTATTATACTAAATCATAATATAATTTGCTTGATTTATATTTTGGTGCAATGTTTGAACCCAATATTTGGTTTATATGGTAATCTCTGAATCAAAGCATTTTACTCTTAATGCTTGAAAAAAGCATCTTGCCTTATTAATGCAAATTTTATGTATGTCTATATATAAATATTGAAAACTTCAGTAAGCCACGTATCTTATTCTTTGTAATACCTTAGAATATTTTGCTTCTCCATTTAAAATATTGTCTAGGGAATGGGAAGAAAATAAATATGATAATGACATGCACTAATACAATAATAATAATTTAACACCATCAAACAACATCTGCCTTTCCCAAGTCCTTGGAAAGGACTTAATAGGTGGATAAAAATGCCAATTTCAGTCTAAACATCTGGCTGACTGTTTGAGCAACAACAACAACAATAATAATAATAACAATACACACAAAAAAATTGGAATAAGATTCTAATGCAAGAAAGTTGCTAAGTTTCTCTATCACCATTGATTTAAATTATTAGATATTTTTTTCTAGACATTTAGGATTACAATTAAAATTGGAAGCCATTTCCCATCAACAGAAAAAGCATCTGCCACATAACAGCCAAGACTTAACAGTTGTAAATAAGAAAGACAAAAAAAAGTCTGGATAGTGGACATTGCAGTACCTGGAGACAGCAGAATAGAAAAGAAGGAACTGGAGGGGGAAAAAACACAAAATGTAAAGACCTGCAAATAAAATTAGAATGACTGTGGCAAAAGAAAGCAAAGATAGTAGCCATAGTAATAAATGCCTTGGGTGCAATCCCAAACCATCTAGATGATTACTTGAATGCCATCAACATCAACAAAATTACCATTACTCAATTGCAAAAGGCAGCTTACATCCTGCAACAATATCTTTACCACCATCAAGCAATATATCTGCTTATCCCAGGTCCTTGGGAAGATGTAATAAGTGGATAAAAATACTAAATCCAGCTTAAACAGCTGACTGACTGTGTAAGCAACAGTAAGAACCATCAGCCCATTTACTATAGTGAGAATACAGAAAAAGAATCCTGTATCAAATCATTTGTTGTCCAGATCAACAAAGACCATGTCAAATGTTAGAGTTCAGGTGTTTCGCTGGGCAACCAGGGCCTAGTCCTCTAGGATTACTAGAAGAACCACAACTACAGATAAGACATAACTATGTTGTGTTTGAAAATTGTGCCATTATGGGTTGCTATTACAAATTGGAACCAACAAAGTGAGGCTATTCAAGTAAATGTTTGAATTGTGGGGAAAAAATTGTCCAAATTCAAATATAACTGAAAAGATCAAGATTTAAAAATCGAAATTGAAACATTATGGCATAAACTGATCTTGGTGATCCCAGTGGCTAACAGTACACTAGGTGCCATACCAAAAACTCTTGGATAGCAGTGTGCACTGACAAAATTTCTGTTAGTCAATTGCAAAAGGCCACAATGCTTGGATCTATACATACAGTACCCTGATACATTACATCATCTTAGGTTCTTGGAAAGAACTTGATGTGTATGAAGGCCAATACCACCTAAAGAACTGGCATCTGTGATTTCACATTGTTGTATATATAATAAGAGTAACAACAACAGCTGCTCGGCTTACTTTTAAAGGCACATTATTGGTGTCAACATTGTGCCTTGCTATCAGTCAGAACTGTGCAAAATGTATTGAACTGTGGTAGAAAATAATTTCCACACTCTTGGCACAGCATATAACAATTTCATTTGAAATTGCTTTCTCTGAAGAAAGGTGACAGATCTTTTGTGCACAGTTACTGCACAAGTCGGTGTTTCAACTTGGCCTTGTATTTTGTAGCCCGTCAGCATCAGTCTTGCAATTGAGCACGTTATACCTATTGCTAACCTCAAAGCTTGGTGCCTTCAGTGTCAATTGGAAATCGTCCTAACGCAGAGAATATGTTAATGTGAAGATGAGACAGAGGTGAAAATACAGCTTGTGGGTTTGAGTTTATGGAATGTTTAGAAAGTTTCTACATGTGACAGACATGTTACAGAAATGATATGGGCAACAGGTTTTTCTGCAATACTGAAAATTGTTCAAATTGCAGGATACAAATAACTACATTTGATTCATATTCTGATAAAAACGGGTGATTGCTTACTGTATAATTGTTATACTAATACATTCCTGTATGGGAGCTTATGGTCTGTTGGTTCCATTGCCAACTGTGCCTTTCTATTTACTATACATTGTATAGGCATTGCTTCCTGTAAGCAAAGCTTTCAGAGAACAGGAACTGAAGATGCTTAATTATAAAGAAAGAAAAGCCATTTTCTTCCACAATTTAAATGACAGAGTGTATATTTTTATTTTTCTCTCAATATGTCTAAAGATAAATATTAAAGAAGAAGATGATAGACAGGTCAGAGTAGTCAAACAATATTTTACATTTTCAAAACCATTTACAAAGTATTTGTCCATATGTATTGTTCTTCATTGTCTATTTCTTTGAATTTTATATATGCAAATGTTTATCTTGCAAACAAAAATATTCCTTGTGTAGAATCATCTTATAATTTAGATAGAGAATATATATTTATTTTCCAATAAAATACTTGTTCTTCTAATACAGTGTTTCTCAACCTTGACAATTTTAAGGCATGTGGAATTCTGGGAGTTGAAGTCCACATGCCTTAAAATTGTCAAGGTTGAGAAACACTGTTCTAATACATCAACTATGAACAGTCAAATTGACTTGTAATGTAACTATCTCATACTAAAAGAATGATAAATGGCCCAAATCCTTGAGCTTCCATGCTGAGGGTTAGAGTTGAAGTTGGGTCCTTCCTGACATTACATCACCCTGATCGTCTAATATACAACAAAAGAAGCTGCAAGGTCTTCTCCTGTACGTACAGTCTGTTTTTAATTAAAAAACTATGATAAAACTCTCATGAAGCTTATTTTTTTGCTTATTTTTTATACTATGTTTTGTTAGATAAAAGTTTGTCAAAAGATTGTGAAATGCAGATAGTTTTGACATATAGCCAGTCATTTAGCAACTGTTCAAAACTGTCCCTAGGGATACCTACAACCTGGTTCTGAAGTTCTCACTGTTGCCTCCCCCTCCCTCCCCCCCCCCGGTGGTCATGTGGCTTCATGTCAGGGGCTTGGCAGCTGGCTCTCATTTACAGCCATTTGTAGCACCATATAGGCGCTTTCTGATTTCTACAAAACTGGCTCATAGCAAATAATTGCTTCCCTTAACAACAATGGCATTTGCTTAACAACTGTAGTGGCCATTTAACAACCGCACAAAAAAGGCCTCAAAATCAGGCCAGTCACATGGGTGACCACCTTTATGACTGTCACGACTTCTGACTGCAGTGGGCACGCTTTGTTATAGTTGTAAACCATTACCTGTGACCTGGAGCAGTCAGCAAACTTTTCTGCTACTATGGCTTTTTCAGGTGAGGAATAGGACAAAATAAAGTGAATGCAATCAAGTATTTATCCACCAGCATGTTTCTAGTTGGCTGGAAAATTGAGAGAATCCCTATTTTTAAATGTTTTCTATTCCATAATTTAAACCACACTAAAGGCAAGCCAGTTGCTAGTTATGTGCAAGAAACATTCTTGTTTTTAAATGTAGCACTTCTGCCAAACTGTTGCTTTTTTTTCTTTACTAGATCCTCATCTCCATTTTCAGAGGGGTTTTTTTGCTGCAATTAATGAGCTTGCAATTAAAACTCGATATATCTAATTAAAGTATGTTTTAATTAATTTTATTTAATTAAAGAGTGAGGTTTATAGAGATGGTAGGTGCATTTTGTACTACTGACTATAATAAGAAAACACCTGTTTTCATACTAATTTTGTTCTGTTAGCAAATATAATCTGTGCGAAAAATCTGAATTTAATTAATTTCATCATCAGGGAAACATAGTTCAGTACAGTTATCCCAAATGAATGGCCTTGTCCACTCACACCATGATAAGTTTGCCTCTCCTGTTGAAACTACTTTTGATGTAGGAATTAGGGAACCGTGCCCTTCAAATGTGGTACTATCCAGAAGTATAGACACATGAATCTGCTCCACATATGCAACTGTGTAGTAAAATACCTGCCAAGGGATAATGCTTTCCGCATTCCTGAGCATTTGACAAACCCATGCTTAGTTGATAAATATGTTATCAGTCTAGGTCATTGCAGATGAAAATTTGAAATGATTTTTTTTCATTGTTAAGCATAACAAAAATAAAATGTGCATGAGATAGGTTTGCCTAGCTCTTCTTCTCAATTAATCTTTCCAGTTTGGAAGAAAATTCAGTCATCTGTCTCTTATTTTTAACATGTAGTTTGAGATTATTATCCATCTTGGTCATAATTAGGCATTCAATCTTGCCTGATTCATAGGAACAGGTTTCCAAAAACTCTTGGTGCAGAAGCAGTGGTCCTTGTGTGACACATAAAGTGCAGCTAAGAGATGGATCAGTAGGTAGTAAAAGCCAGCCTGCACCCTCAGTAAATCAAATATTTCTTCATAATTGTTCCTTCTACTCTAAATTCCTTTGAGTCCAAAATAAAAAGGGCATTTAGGCACTATATTTCCTGTCCAGAAGTACCAGCTGGATGACAAACTTGGTGTAAAAGAAAAGCAGCTCACATGTTTCATTCATATACTTATTTGACATATTTAGGCTCACTTTTCTGATAATTCATTTAAAACAAAAGCATAACAGAATTTAAATATAATCTACATTTTAAAAGCATAATTGAAATAAAATAATGGATCCCTTTACAACATCCCTCAGCC